GAGGTTCCCGCCTGTGGAGCAAGGGGAAGGGTGGGTGAAGCCGGAGAGGAGTAGGGAGCGCCAGGACTGGTCCACAGCCACCCAAGCAAGGAGAGGGAAGAGGTGCTCCCACTCACCTCCTCCAGAACCGAAGCCCCCAGCCCCACCACCAGCACCTCCCATGTGTGAGCCCCCACCAAAGTGCTGGGGAAACTGAGGCAGGACTTTCTTGCGCTTCCTCTCCACTTCTTCCTTATCTGCGGGGGGAGAGAGGGGCAGCGGCATGAGAGGCAGCTCCAGCGGTGGGGGGCATGCTGGCCTGCCTGGGGGGTGCTCACCTTCCACCACAGGGTAGTAGGTGAACTGTTTGGAGTCACTCACGTCCCCTCCCCGCTTCCGCTTCAGCTGCAGGAAGACGGTGACTGGACGGTCGATCTTGGGCTTGTGGTAGGGGGGTGTGCGGAAGACAATGGCATACTGTGGGCAGAACAGACAGACATGGGGTCCTGTTCCTCCCTGGAGCTAGGGATGGGGCTCCCCCACCCCACAGGGCACAGGGATGTTCTGCCCTGGGGAACGGCAGGACATCCCCCCACCTTCCCTGTACCTGCTTGTGCACGTCAGTGGGGGAGAAGTCTCCAAAAGCCTGCCAGCCGTTCTCATCATCTTCATAGAAACGCACCTCAATGTCATCTGGGGAGAGAAGAAGTGCTGGCACCACTCATCTCCCCACCCTGGAAAGGCTCTGGGAACATGGACCCCTGGCCGCTAAAGGGCTCTGGATCTCTCCTTGCCACGGCCCCTTTGGAAGGTTTCAGCTTGGGGGAATGGCTTTTACCTTTCTGAACTTTATCACAGAGCAGGTAGACCTCGTCCCCACCCCGCACGGAGCCTGCCGTCTTATCCATCCGTGAGATCTTCAGGTTGGAAGCTCCTGGGGACTCTGCAGTGCAAGAGGAGGCATTGGGAGCCGCTGTGGCAGGCAGAGCATCCCTCATTACCCTGTCCTGCCCTGTCCACTCCCCAGCCTGGCCCCATGCTCACTGCTGTCGTGAATGGGGTCTGAGATGACAGGCTGGAGAGCCAGTGTGAAATTCCCGCTGCTATCACGGAGGTAGGCAGTGAAGCGCAACCGCACGATGCTCAGGTCCATCACCTTCTTCAGCTCCTTTGCCTCCAGCTCAATCTCACGCAGCTCTGCTTCTGCCGGGGCAGGAGAAGATGCCCTCAGGCTAAGCAAGGGGATGGGGCTCCATGTCCCCCCCAGCCCCATGCTAAGCCCAGCTGTCACTCCCAGGCGCTGAGTCCCACTGACTGCCCTTACCCGTCAGCATATGGCTCCTGTTGCGCATCTTCTGCTGCTTCAGCTTTTCCTTCATGATCTCCATCATATTCTTCTTGGTGACATGGAGCACTCCCAGGTTGCTGAACCTGGAGAAGAAGACGGATCTCGCTGGGATCTGTGAGTACCAGGGCTGGCGCACACAGGCTCCCACAGCCAGAAAGGAGCTGAGCAAAACACAGAGTACTGCTGCTTGGGCAGCAGGGGATCAGTGTGTGCAGGGCGTAAGAGAAGCAACCACAGAGCAGAGGAAAGGGACCCAGGAAAGAGGTGTCTGGGGAACTCCGGGTTCCCACAGGTGGCAAGTCCAAAGAGGAGGACCAGGAAGACTGGAGGCCAAAGGGATGCAAACAGGATGAGGCTGTCAGCAGCCAGGGCTAGATTTGTAAGAGCAACTGCAGCAGCTGCTGAATAACCCCACGATGCAGACTGGCTACAGCAAAGCTGGGGAGCTGCAACCCCGAGGACAGAACCCCACAGCAAGCTGCACATGCTGGACCCAGGCCTCTGCAAAATGTCCAGGGAAGAGAGTTGTACTGATGACCTTGGCTAAACCCACTCCTGTCCCCATCCAGCAAACCCAGCTCTATGCACTAAACCCCTTCTGCTTCCCAGCAGCAAACTGTGACCAGCCTCCAAACCAACCCTCATAGGCAAGAGGCTACCCAGGTCTCCCTCAGACGTACTGAGCTGTCATGTCCTTGGGTCCCACAATTGCGATGCAGTTGCCAGCCTCATTGCACTGCTTGCCCACCAGGCTGTGGGCATGCACACGGGGAGGGTCGCTGTGCGTCACCAGGTCCACCTCGATCCGGGCCATCCCTATGTAGTTGCATATCTGCAGGGAGAAAGGAGATGGGAACCAGGTACAAAACCCCAGCAGCCTGCAGGACTCTCTGCAAACCCCCCTCTGCTACTCATCACGAAGGCCACCACTCCTCCTGCTGCAGCCCTTTCATCCCTCCAGTGCCATGAGACACACAAGAGCTTTATATACATATCCTGTCCTTCCTTCAAGGCACCCTCCCGGTACTTGTGCACACCAAATGAAGATTCTGCCCTGTCCCCTCCCCAGGGCAGTGCTCACCTTGACAGTGGGATAGGTCTTGCGCCCCTTCTCGCTGGATGCTCCTGGCAGCCCCCCATGGGAAGGGCCCTCGCAGCCATACCGAAAACGGAACCCCCGCTGTAAAGGCAAAGAGGAGGTCAGCCAAAGGTGGCCCACAAGAGCAGAGGGTGACAGCTACACCTGCCCTTGCTTGGGTGACATCCTCACCTGCTTTGGCTGCTCAATGATGACAAGGTAAGGACCTTCCGCTGGAGAACAGAGAAAAGAGGCACCAGTGAAAAATACATGATAATCCAAGTGCATGCTTCCAGTAAGGATACTGGAGGTATGGAGGATAGTGTGGAGGGTTAGGTGACCCATCTTTCCCATGGGGGTCCTCAGAGCCCCCAGCCCCTGTGCTGTCATAGCCCAGCCAGGAGCATCAGGCAGAGCATCAGGAAGAGGAGGGAAGGACCAGAGGATGCTCTGGCACTTGAGGAGCACCTGAGGACCCATCACGGCCCAACCTGAAGTCCCTGTTAGACTGAGCAGCAGGGCCAGACTGAACAGACCCCATCCTGGTGGCACACGGCAGGGATTCCCAGCCAGCCCACAGTGGGACCAGCAGGGACACAGCCTGTGGTGCTGCTGGGAACTACGAGGTGTGAGTCAGCCTGCTGGAAAACCCCGCTGCAGCTGGGGACCCCTAGGAGGGCACAGCCAGAGGGGCCCTTACCTGTCTCCATCACAGGCTCCTTCTGCTCCATCAAGTGGGAGCCGAAATTGAAGTCATCACAGTCAATCCCATCCAGGCACTGGGTGGCAGGAGAGAAGATGGGTGAGATGAGTGTGTTGGGGCTAGAAATCCCAACCGCCCTGGGGGGCAGGCACAGACCCCCATCTCCCACCCTGGAGGGGGGCCAGTCTGGCACAGACTCCCACTGCCCACCTTGGGGAGATGGGAGGGCAGGCACAGATCCCCTGTCCCTCCCGGAGAAGAGGGGTGGGCAGATGCCAACCCCTCATTGCCCACCCCTGGAGGCACCAGCAGACCTCCTTTGTGCACCCTGGGGGCAGATACAGACCCCGCGCCTCCCACCCCA